AAAACGAAGGTTCAACAGCACTTTGTCAATATGCTTGCGTGCCGCCATAAATCTGAATGCTTGCTCGAGCTGTTGTTCCGAAAACACAGTCCATTGGAGCGGACGTATCGCGCCATTTTTTATCCCCTCCGAAAAAAATTTGATCAGTTTATTCTTTTGCGCTTTATTTTCTTGAAATACCATATCCAACAATATACTATGGTAAGTATATTTTATTAACGTTGATATGCTCACGCGGTTGTCTTTCGATATATCATGCATGCTGATGTCAAAGAAACGGCCACCGAACGCGAGACACCGGATGCCAGCTTGTAATTTCGCATCTGTCAGTGAATTCAACACGACATCCACTCCACGTCCTTGAGTCTCAAAATCTATGAGCTGTTCGAAACTGGTATCTTGGGAAGTGCCAATGTGCTTGTCGTTCAACTGCGGAAAGATTCTCTTGAGATATGTTCTTTTATCCAACGTGTCAACGGTAGTGAAGACGGTACAACCAGCGTGCAGAGCAATGGCAATCGCTGCTTGACCGACGCCGCTTGTACCATCGTGAACTAATATGCTTTCGCCCGCTGTCAATTGACCTCGTATAAACAAAGCATAGTAACTAGTCACGTAAGCGATAGGTATCGTTGCTGCCTGTGCCAACGTCCACTTGTCGGGTACTTCCCAAAGGAAATCGAGATCTGCAACCACTGTAGTCGCCAGTCCTCCAACTTCGACTATACCCATCACGCGATGACCGTCAGCGTCTCTCCCCGATAATCCACGTCCCAATATACATTCTTCCGTAGCTATATTCCTCGGCAGAATATCCAGGGACATCTTTCCACTCGCCAATATGATATCCCTGTCATGCATATAATTTATTCATATGTCACGCCTTTATTATCTCAATATCAGTAAGTAATATTGACATTTACCTGGAGCTCAGTGAAGCATAGTAAACGCTACAAAGTTTCATAGTGGGAAAATTATCGGGACGATAGTACTTTAAGGGACTTTCGATCCATCTCAAGCTGCTGAGGTCTCCTCTTGTCAATGTGTTTACATAGGCGTGTTTCACTTGCACGGAAGACATGTTGCTCTGTTGATCCAATGGCAAGTGTCGATAACTGCCCCATTGTCCTCCTTTCAGAACGTTTGCCATCAATCCTTTGTCCAATTGTTCCACATAAAATGGTACGAATATGCTAAATGTGGGGGCATCCTGGTCCTGGATAAAGACATAACGCAAATTTGCATTGCCTAACTCGCGTCGCATACAAGTCATGAGTCCGACCAAGCCTACGAATTAAAAATGACAAGACATTCTTTTCTGTCCATCATATAATTAAAGAGACACGTTGAAAGTTTAAGAATTTTCTTCCGTAATCTTACCAAGTGTTTCTTCACCCTGGGATACAAGGAGTATTTCTTGATCTATACTGTCGCATTTTTTCAGTACTGCTTTTATATCTTTCAGCCACGACAGATGTTTTTCTGTAATTTGAATTACCATTGGTTCTCTTAGTTTCTGTCGTTTCTTCAGCAACAAATAAGTCTTTTCTACGGAAACTGTTTGTTTTCCAGCCAAGATGAGATCAGTGTCTTTCAACGCGGTCTCCAAATCTAGTTGTGCAGCGGTCTCCTCCAGAAGAATAAAACAACCAGGTTTTAAGTTAGCGACCAAGTTTTTGAGAACGGTATAAGACTGATTAGATAGAACGTCCGCCGCGATGACAATGTGCACGTTTTGAACGGGAAGTGCCTTATTCACATCTTGCGTTACGATGTCAGCGTTCACGTTCATCTGCTTCAAACTCTCCGTATAGTTATCTGCAGAAACTGTGACGATTTGTAAATCAATCTGAAAGAAACACAGCGATTTTGTAATTAAACATTGAAGAAGAATCTTGAAAAAAAAATCACAAATAAGAATAAATTATGACGCGATTATGATCGTAAAGCGTTTTACTTTTAAATTTACATGCATTTTACTACTGTACCAGAAACAAGGAAACAGCAATTTCATTCTTGTGTGAGTGTAAATAAAACATAATATTTTGTTTCAAATAGTATTGACGTAACAATGGAATCCTCCTTTTTTATCATTTATCTCTAAATCTTTTATCCAATCTTTAGAACTGTCGCAATGCAGTTTATTTAAATAAAAATACTTGACGGAAAGATTGTTAAATTCTAAAGTCGTCTGTCAGAATTTGATGTTTTACTTTGATATGGTAGCAGGTAGGTACACAATTCTATAAATATCGAATAACAAAATATTCCAACTGGATAGAGGACAAAACAAACGAACAAACAAATTATTAAAATAATTTGGTATTCTTACGATAGGCGAGCCCAATTGGTTATCGGAAATTTTGCAAATAAGCGGTGCCAAGAGAACTTCCGCAGCTCGTTCACCTGCAACTTCCACGGTCTTCAGTCTCAACGTTATTATGTTTTCATACACAATCTGCAAGAGTACAGTAAGCGCATGAACCCTTCTTCTCATTGCATCCTCTCCTGGACTGTACGAACTTTCGTATGGTATGAAAGTGTACCGCCCGTATTTAAGATCAGCATGATCCTGTCGCCGGGGCGCCAACGAAAATTTAATTTTTCTGAGCTCAATACCACCCGATTTAACAATGTTGGCGTCTTTGTAGCAATACACTGGCAATCCATCGTTCTCTGGTAAGTTTTCAACCAGTTGTTTATGAAGAACAGGATTGATAGCTACATACTGAATATGCGACGCTAAATATAAAGAGTTGTTAGTCACCAAAGATATATGAACCATACTGTCTAAGTACGGCACCCATTGATTGAACCAGTATAGTTCACCGGCAGTGGCATCTTTATCGCAAGATTTGACTCCTTGGAAGATATCGCAATAATCGTATCCGCACAATCTTAGTTTCTTGTAAATGTCCTTGGTATTTAACAGCACAGTCTCTTGATATTGAGGCAAAACTGGAGGTGGTAAGTTCAGGTGATCTTTGTCGATACCTTCGGACACGCGAACGTTTCCGCTGGCGACGATCGTATCGTTCTCACAGATCTCGAAATCGCCCGATCCTTTGAAAAGAGTTATCGAGAATTTCACCGGTCCTTCCTTGGGGATAATGGTGGCCCGATGAAACTGCATTTTCTCAAATACTACTGGCAACAGTTCAAAATTGCAGCCGCGCTGTTTTGCCAAAATTTTCCACACCATTAAAATATAACCAGCAACTGGAAAAATCACTCGTCCGTCTATCTGGTGTCCTGCTAGATACGTATCCATTTCATTTGACAAGTCTATTTGGACAATACATTCTCCCGAATGGTCTGATATCTGTTTGAAATGAGGCACATCCCACGGGACGGAGTGATCCCACCTGACCAAGGACCCGATCATTGGTGTTCCGCGACCGACGGGGAAACTAATCGGCGGATACAATTTGGCAATGTTAGGTTGCGCACCGGCCATGTATAACTTTCCCACGTTAGACAGCAGGAAGGTAAGATTGTCCAAATGATCCCGCTTGTGAAGGCTGATATTGGTCACCGTTGGTGGTAATGATCCACGTAAGATTGTCTGTAGCAAACCGTGCGGTGCGATCTCAATCGTTATCGCGTTTTCTGGGATATGAGCGATCGCCTCTTTGAAGAGCACAGGTGACATCATATTGTTTACACAATACTCGGCGGAGTTGAGCTGCGCGAGCGGACTATCCCATGCGGATTCTGGTACGGAGGTAGAGATCCATTTAGCCGACCTCTGCTTGGGACTTGGTATGATTTTCTCGAGTAAAGCGTGTAACTTAGGTCCTGCTGGTGCGATGTATTTGGTGTGGAGGGCGCAGCCGGAACTGTTTACCATTTTAACGAAGATATTCTTACTCTTTAGTATTTGTACGAACTTGTGTATAGAATCAGCCGGACCGGAAATTGTAACTAAGTCGGCGGAGTTGTTACAAGCTCGTGTGATATCGGGCGGGCAAATCTTTTCGATC